AAAAGGAAAAAAAAAAAAAGGCTTCTTACAATTAAATGATTTTTACCTTCCTTGCCCCCTCACCCTGGTGGGGGAGCTGGTCGGCAGTCAAGAACCAAGATGGCGCCTGGAGGGAGGGAAGGAGGATCCAGGGGTCTCTGGGTGTGGTTCCAAAGGTACCTAAGTGCAGCAAGGCCTCAGCCTCCTATGGGGATCCACATCACTTGGATCCCACGATGTACCCAGTATGAATCCAGGGAACTCCCCTTTACCCAAGCAAATTCAAAATGGGTTTCTGATACTTGAAATGTGAGGCCCAACCAATACAGCTACTCACTGTCATGCCTCCCCAAGAGGAAAAACAGAATACAAATGGGGCACCACAGGCTCAAAGCAACAGTAAGGAGACCGGACCACAATCCTGACCTGACCTCAATTCTTACTCAAACAACCCTTTGGCTCCATGCTGGGTGAGGGGGAAGGGGAGCCTGCATTTCAGATACTAGATTATCATTCTGAGGGGCTTACAGACCTGGAAGAGTCTCTACATCTTCCTGTTTATATGACAAAGTAGTTTTTTTAAGCATTATATTGCACTTTTATTTATTTTTTTTTTTTAATTTTTTTTTAATGTTTATTTTTGAGAGAGAGAGACAGAGTGTGAGCAGGGGAGGGGCAGAGAGCAAGGGAGAGACAGAATCTGAAGCAGGCTCCAGGCTGTGAGCTGTCAGCACAGAGCCCGACGCGGGGCTCGAACTCACGAACTGCGAGATCATAACCGGAGATGCAGTCGGACACCTACCGACCGAGCCACCCAGGCACCCCTATATTGCACTTTTAAAAAAATCTAACAGACGGGCACCTGGAGGGTTCAGTCGGTTAAGCATCCGACTTCAGCTCAGGTCACGATCTTTTGGTTTGTGAGTTCAAGCCCCTTGTTGGGCTCTCTGCTGTCAGTGCAGAGCCCACTTTGGATCCTCCGTGCCCCCTCTCTGCCCCTCTCCCATGTTCTCTTTCTCTCTCTCAAAAATAAACAAACATTAAAAAAGAAAAATCTAAAAGGCCAAAAAAAGACCATTGTTCCCAAACACAAGCCAAACTGCAGATAGATAACAAAGATGATGAAACAATAACAAACAAGGGCCACTAGCACTTCCTACTGTGTCTGAGGACCTGTGTACCATTTCTTTCAGCCCTCGTGACCACCCAAGGGTGCAGGCACCAGTAATCTTCCACTTACACGAGAAGAAAGTGAAACGAGATCGAATAAGGCCCTGCTCGAGGGTTCACTGTCTCAGTGACGGATCTAAGAGCCGGCTCCCTGTCTGTCCCACCGTTGGATCCTTGGTCTTGGGCCCCTGCTGTTAGCAGCCTTGCCTGCTGTTGAAGGAGCGGGTGCCCGAACATCATTTTGCAAGAGGAAAATGCAATTTCTCCTAGCGAATGAGTACATCAATACCTACAACTTTGCACTGACACATTGCACTGACCCCCCTAAACAGGAAGGGGCCTCACAACCGAGTAAATTATTCACCCTGTACTTCTGATGAATGAAGAACCCATGAGCTAACCTGCCAATGGGATCCAATAACCTTGGATCACTCCCGGACCATCTGTGTATCCGAAAGGTAGATGCCAGGCAGGTAACACCACAGAACCCTTACGGAGACCGGTGCTGCCGTGTCTGCTGGAGCAGAGAGCGGGGCAGCTATCGGTCTGACAAGCCCGGCACGTGATTTAAAGTTGGCATCAACTAAGAAAAAGCGCTCACAGGATTAGTAAAAACAAACTCTGAACGAAAAGTTCATTACGGTCTGAAGCACCACAGCCTTGTTCCAAAATGCAAGGTGATCCGCCGCCTCCCGTCTAAAGGCAAAGCGTCAGCAGCACAGAGTAACCAGCGACTTACACGGGGCGTCAGCCCACTGGTCAGGTGGCACCAGTGACCCTGGGGGCTCTGGGAGGGCCTCGGGGCGAGCTGGGGTGCCACTGCTGGATCCGGCCGGCACTCTGTCCATGGTCAGGACGGCACAGGCTGGACCGATACTCGGGGGCTGCAAGCGGGCTGCGGGCGGGTTCGGTCTCGGCCATTAGCAGCAGCCCGGAGCTCCTGGGAGGACCCGCACTAGGCCGTCCATTTTGGGAAGACGTCCAGTCTCATAAGTGGCTTGAAATCAAACCCAATAACATCATGATACCTGACAGGAGGGAAAAGAGAAAGAAGGTATCATGAAACCTCATTTGTCAGATTTGAAGTAACAATTGCAAGACTAACATTTGGCTCCCGATTCACATCCATGTAATAAACAGGTTTATTCATTCAACAGATAACTCCTGAGTACCTACAATATGCTAGGTTTGAGGGTAAAGTGCTGACCCACCACACCGGGGCCTGTTCCTGAAGGGAACCAGCTGGCTAATGCCGGCCCGCCAGGGCAGAGCCACTCTGTAACCGGACCTGAGCCCCACGTGTAGCCCCTCGCAGGGACAGGCCTTGGGAGGCTGAGGAATTAAGCTACTTGTTTAAATTTAAGAAATCTGAGTTAAATAGCCACGTGTGGCCAGTGACTTCTGCCCTGGACCCGTGGGCCCGAGCACTCACAGGGCAAGCTCCCCTCCGAGGCCTGGCATGGTGGCGAAGTTCATGGAACATGGCAACCCTACGCTGTGTCAGGGGAAGCACAGAGAGATGAGGACGTGGAATCGAGGTCCAGAGAAGGCATCTCGGGGCAGGTGATCAGTTTCGTCCTTCATTTCTGTCAGGATTAGCTTTTAGCCCAACCTGCTAGGCTAAGTTCAAGGGAGCAAAACTTTGCCCCAGGTTTGGCAACTGGTTACCATTTTTGAAGTGTACTGAGGATATTCATAACCTGTTCCTCGTCAGCAGGGAAGGTGTGAGCCACTATCCATTCTGCAGAGATGCTGGCATTTACTCCCTATATGGTAAGTTTCACGTCATCCTACATACTGTTCTGTGTCTCACAAGTTTCAGGACAAAAAGTTACATGACTTCCCTCTGCGGCTTACAAATCCCACACAGACATCTCAGACAAGAGCCTGAGCAGTGGCCCACACATGGAGGGGCTGGTGCTGACTCAACAGCAGAAGGCAGGTGTGCCTCTCCTGCCACAGTCCTCTCCTGCCGTCCCCCAGGAAGAAGCACCCACTGGTGGTCGACATAGCCTGGCACACCCAGGCATCGAGTGACTAGTGATGGCAGCATCCCCCGTGTAAACCCACGAGTGTCTGGCTAGCAGCTCTAAGAACGCACACGTTCCACTCTGCTGTCTGGCACCTATAGGCCAAAGATGCTATGGCTGAGTAATCGTGCGGTAAGAAGATGAAAAGGTCAGTCTAGCGCCACGTGTAGAACCAGCACGAGGGTTGTACTAGAAAGGACCACTGATAGAATGCGTACCAACCAGCTAACTGAAAAGCGCTGGCTGCCAGTGTGGCTCCGTGGCTCGTTTGTGCACATATTTGAAGACTGAACCAAATTCCGGATCACAGAAATGAAGGGAGCTACTGAGGCTGGCCGATGATCCTGTCTGCAATGAGTTCTCTATGCTGTTTTTGTCTCTACAGTAATCAGTACCCTCTTTCATCCTCAAAGACTTCCCAGGGCGGGGGGATAGACACATGAGCTCTTGGAGGCTCCACACCTGTCCCTGCACATCCTACAGGCCCCTCCAAAAATCACTGTTCCACAGGGTCCTGGCTCCATGGCAAATACTGTCCACCAGGCCTTCCCCTGGCTACTGCAGACAGCTGATCCTTAGGTAAGACGCCCACAAAGCAAGGCGAGGCACGTCAGCAAAAGGCCAGCCAGGCCGTCCCCTTCATCACAGGCTCGCCGCTTCAAGAATGGGTACCAACACATACAGTGGAACGTGGGATCAGAGGTCACTGCGCAGGGCACGCTGTATGTGCCGGCCCTCCTCGCAAGTCCCTTAACAGAAGAAAATGTTTGCATTTTGCTTTGCGATGTCTTTGCCCGTGGGGGCAGGGGCGATGGTGCCTGCGAGGGCAACAATGACAGGTGGGTGCTGCTCAGGCAGAAGCTGGTCCCTCTGCCGTGGGGGCCCCTTCCCCTTGACCACCAGGCAAATCCCCGAGGGCCCTTCCACATCCACCATTAGGCATTGCTCCGAAGTCCTGCGGGGCCTCAGGTAAAGTGCCTGGCCCACTCCCTTCTGCCACCAAGACACCCCGTGTGCAAGCTCACTGCAGAAGGGTGTGTGTGCATCTCCTCCACGCAGCAAGAGGCCCGGAAGCAGAAACGACCGCTCCCAGTCGGCCCTTCCCCCTCGAACATCCCCCACTCCGAGTGACGCTCTCTCGACACAGGCTAGTAACTTCAATCTTTGGCCCTGCCAAGTTCCACCCCTTAGCAACCAAGCTAGTGGTTCCAAACAATACAGTGTTTGCATCCTGAGCATCAACACTGCCTTTTCAAATACAGAACAACTCTGACTATTCCAACTAAAACCCCTCGGAAGCTACCGTTCCAATGAGACGAAGAATGCCCCTGGGAGAGCAGCAGGTAGTGGCCACACCCCAGATAAGCAATGTCCCCTGGGTAAGAACCCGAGCAGGCAGCTAGCCGGACTTCCCTCATCTGCTGGACACACAACACGGCCCGGCAGAGCAGGGAAGGCACAGGGGCAGCCAAGCAGCTGCTGAGGAAAATGGCCTGAGGCCGTGATGATGCCGGACCCAGGCAAGAGGAGGTCTGCTGAGATGCAGGTTCCACTGATGAAGCAAACACGGAGACGAACGCGCCAGGCTGTCTGAGCCCAGTGCCATCACGTACTCCACTCACTTAATGCCCTTTATGTGAATTTCTTGCTAAACAAAAAACCCTGCTGAGTCCCAAGAGGTCCTACGCCGCTCCAGAGGTGGACGACGCAGCCCTCCACAGCATGAGACCCTGGGACTGTGACACGTTCTGGCAACTCATAAACATGGCTCCCATGCACACGCAGCTCCTCCTGGAGCCGGACAACACAACTCCCTGAAGGCCCAGAGCAGCCTCCGCTGAAGTGACATCTCCCTGTGGCTAATACGCTGGCATTCTGTGTCTGTCCTCAGGCTCCAGTATACTTTACTTAGCAGGACTCAGTCGGTCAGGGTCTCACTACCTCAGTGCTCACAAAAACAGGGCAGAGAGAAGGGTCAGACTTCTAGGGGCACATCCCAAGGAAGCGGTTATTAGGAACATGAATTCCAATTCGTGATTTTTTTTTTTAAGTAGGCTTCACGCCCAGTGTGGAGCCCAACGTGGGGATCAAACGCATGACCTCAGGGTCAAGACCTAAGCTGAGATCAGCAGTCGGATGCCACTTCAGCTCAGGTCATTATCTCAAGGGTGGTGACCTCGAGCTCCATGTCAGACTCTGTGCCGACAGCTCAGAGCCTGGAGTCTGATTTGGATTCTGTGTCTCCCTCTCTCTCTGCCCCTTCCCTGCTTGCTCTCTGTCTCCCTCTCAAAAATAAAATATATATATAGGGGGGTGCCTGGGTGGCTCAGTTGGTTAAGCGTCTGACTTAGGCTCAGGTCTAATCTCACGGTTTGTTGAGTTTGAGCCCCGCATCGGGCTCTGTGCTGACAGCTCAGAGCCTGGAGCCTGCTTCGGATTCTGTCTCCTTCTCTCTCTGCTCCTCCCCCGCTCAAGCTCTGTCTCTCTCTCTCTCCTTCAAAAAATAAATAAAAAAGCATTAAAAAATAAACATTAAAAAATTTTTTTCACATATATATACATACATACACATACATTTTAACAGCTGGATGCTTAACCGACTGAGCCACCCAGGTGCCCCCCAATTCGTGATTAAAAAAATTTTTTTAATATCAGTTTTATCACATTACCATTTTTGACTACCTGCATTCTGCTGTGTTTCCTGGAGGGAAGAGACAGTTATCACAACTTCACAAAATGCTCATAACTCTCAATTCACGCCATCCGCATCAAAGGACTTCATGCCAAGAAAGTCGTCTCAGGCACATTTAGGACTTCAACTTCCCATGATTTCGATATACACGCGAACAGCTCCATCTACCCCACCTTATTTGTTTTTACTGGCAATTGGAAACAAACAGCAAGGCCAAAGATAAAACAGGATTTCCTTAAGAAGACAGCATCTAGTTGAGGCCACGCTAGTAACCACAAGTACACAAGTAAACAGGGACTGACACACAAAGTGAAAAGCCGGCAGGCCTCTGTCCCTGTACAGCAATGCCACGTAAAGCGCAGGCTCCAGCATCAGTCCTGACTCCTCCACCCCCGGCTGTAAGGTCATGGGCATGTTTCATAACCACTCTTGGCCAGTTTCCTCATCAGGAACATGATGAGAAACAGAATACAAAGTTTTGCCAGGATTAAATGCAACAAGGCACAGGGTCTGTCCCAGGCCCTCAATAAATGGTAGCTGTTATTATGTGTTATCTTCCCTTCAGTTGTTGCTCGTCAAAATTGATAGTAAAGTCAATTAGAAGACATTCTCACTTAATGCACACTGCTAAAGGCAACTGGCCAAAAAAAAAAAA